CCAGCCATTAAAATAATTCTTATCTGGAAACCGTATTTTTCACCTATTTCAATTTCCAGCATTTGGTGGGAGGAACATGCACCTTTGCAAAATGGCCAAATTTTGTGCACTTGCCTTCCTGAAGTTAGGGTAAATGTTGTTGAAAACCACCCACCACCCCACAAACATGCAGACCATATATACGTTTAACTTAGAGCAGTTCATTTACTACCATCGCTCTGACGATAATCCACATCTTTCGACATCTACAACTCCTATTCAGCGAACTGATCACTGATCACTTGAGTGAGTGATTCAAGATTCTTGAATCTTGAATCTTGAATTACTCACTCAGCCACTCACTCAGTCACACACTCACTCACTCACTCAAGCACTCACTCACTCAATTAATTACTCACTCACTCAATCACACACTCAATTAATCACCTACTCACTCACTCACTCAATCAACCACTCACTCATTCACTCAATCACTCATTCATTCACTTTCATCTCTTCTCATTCACTCATGCACTCACTGCGTTCAGCTCACTCGGAAGCCAAATATGACTGTTTCCTTTATTCCTTGTAACAGCATAGATATGTGATTTTAAATATAGGAGATAACAAAATTGACGAATTGGCTGCAAACTTACAATGAATGCATGAAATTCCACCATTGACTACACGTATGTATATATAACGTTATATATATATATAGTCTCCCTACGCAATACATAGTCTTGCAAAGTACATTAATTTCCCTTATTATTTAAAAGAAGCTGCCATACAAGCAATGTGTGACCAAGATAGCCATGTAATGACATAATATGGCACATAGATTGGAGATGTGCAGTAGTGTCTCCATAGTTAGCTAGTCATGAGAGACGATTGTCGATAACTAATAACGACTTTACTCTACTCGCAGATGGCACTTTTACATGATCTAATGTTGTTCATTACTTTTGCAAAGTTGGGATGTGACGTGCCATAGATAACTATTATCATATTCAAAGTTTGTTCGTAATACCGCAGGGCTTTACTATGATCACCAAGTCTGTGCCAACATGATCCAATGTTATTTAGTGATAAAGCAATAGTGGAATGTGGCGTTGTTTCGCCATAGATAGCTTTTCTCATCTTGAGCGACTGTTCATGATAACTGATAGCTTTCCTCTGATCACCAAGCTTACTCCAACACGCCCCAATGTTGTTTAGTGATCCAGCAATGTCGGAATGTGGCGTTGTTTCGCCATAGATAGCTTTTCTCATCTTGAGCGACTGTTCGTGATAACTGATAGCTTTTCTCTGATCTCCAAGGTCACTCCAACAGGTCCCAATGTTGTTTAGTGATGACGCAATGTCAGGATGTGGCGTTGTTTCGCCATAGATAGCTTTTCTTATCTTCAGCGACTGTTCGTGATACCTGATAGCTTTTCTCTGATCGCCAAGGCCACTCCGACAGTTCCCAATGTTGTTGAGCGAGGACGCAATGTCAGGATGTGGCGTTGTTTCGCCATAGATAGCTTTTCTCATCTTCAGTGACTGTTCATGATAAGAGAGAGCTTTCCTCTGATCACCAAGGTCATGCCAACAGCCCCCAATGTTGTTTAGTGATCCAGCAATGTCGGGATGTGGCGTTGTTTCGCCATAGATAGCTTTTCTCATCTTCAGTGACTGTTCATGATAAGAGAGAGCTTTCCTCTGATCACCAAGGTCATGCCAACAGCCCCCAATGTTGTTTAGTGATGCAGCAATGTCAGGATGTGGCGTTGTTTCGCCATAGATAGCTTTTCTCGTCTTCAGCGACTGTTCATGATAAGAGAGAGATTTCCTCTGATCGCCAAGGTCACTCCAACAGGTCCCGATGTTGTTTAGTGATGCAGCAATGTCAGGATGTGGCGTTGTTTCGCCATAGATAGTTTTCATCATCTTCAGCGACTGTTCGTGATACCTGATAGCTTTTCTCTGATCGCCAAGATCACTCCAACAGTTCCCAATGTTGTTGAGCGAGGACGCAATTTCAGGATGTGGCGTTGTTTCGCCATAGATTTCTTTCCTCATCTTCAGAGACTGTAGGTAATAGCCGATAGCTTTCCTCTTATCACCAAGGTCACTCCAACAGGTCCCGATGTTGTTTAGTGATGCAGCAATGTCGGTATGTGGCGTTGTTTCGCCATAGATAGTTTTCATCATCTTCAGCGACTGTTCGTGATAACTGATAGCTTTTCTCTGATCTCCAAGGTCACTCCAACAGGTCCCAATGTTGTTTAGTGATGACGCAATGTCAGGTTGTGGCGTTGTTTCGCCATAGATAGCTTTTCTTATCTTCAGCGACTGTTCGTGATACCTGATAGCTTTTCTCTGATCGCCAAGGCCACTCCAACAGTTCCCAATGTTGTTGAGCGAGGACGCAATTTCAGGATGTGGCGTTGTTTCGCCATAGATTTCTTTCGTCATCTTCAGAGACTGTAGGTAATAGCCGATAGCTTTCCTCTTATCACCAAGGTCACTCCAACATACCCCAATGTTGTTTAGTGATCCAGCAATGTTGGGATGTGGCGTTGTTTCGCCATAGATAGCTTTTCTCATCTTCAGTGACTGTTCATGATAAGAGATAGCTTTCCTCTGATCACCAAGGTCACACCAACAGGCCCCAATGTTGTTTAGTGAATCAGCAATGTCGGTATGTGGCGTTTGTTCACCAAAGACAGCTTTCCCCATATTCAGTGACTGTTCGTGATACCTGATAGCCTTTCTCTGATCGCCAAGGTTTCTCCAACAGGTCCCGATGTTGTTTAGTGATTTAGCAATGTCAGGATGTGGCGTTGTTTCGCCAAAGATAGCTTTCCTCATTCTCAGTGACTGCTCGTGATATCTGATAGCTTTCATCTGATCACCAAGGTCACACCAACAGTTTCCAATGTTGTTTAGCGATTCAGCAATGCCAGGATGTGGCGTTGTTTCGCCATAGATAGCTTTTTTCATCTTCAGCGACTGTTCGTGATACCTGATAGCTTTTCTCTGATCACCGAGGTCACTCCAACATGCCCCAATGTTGTTAAGTGAACCAGCAATGTCAGGATGTGGCGTTGTTTCGCCATAGATAGCTTTCTTCATCTTCAGTGACTGTTCATGATAAGAGAGAGCATTCCTCTGATCACCAAGGTCACTCCAACAGGCCCCAATGTTGTTTAGTGATGCAGCAATGTCGGGATGTGGCGTTGTTTCGCCATAGATAGCTTTCCTCATTCTCAGTGACTGTTTGTGATAATTGATAGCTTTCCTGTTATTGCCAAGGGCACTCCAGCATGACCCGATGTTGCCTAGTGATGAAGCAATGTCAGGATGTGGCGTTGATTCTCCAAAGATAGCTTTTGTCATCTTCATGGACTGTTCGAAATAACCGATAGCCTTTCTCTGATTACCAATGTGACTCCAATATAGCCCGATGTTTGCAAATAGCGAGGAAAGAACGGGACGCATTTCGTTGTCTGCATAAATAGTATTTCGAGAGCTAAGTGCCCGTTTGAAGTAACTGATCGCATTTTTATAGTCACCCCGCATTTGCGAGACACTTCCTAATTCAACAAGTATTTCTAACTTCTTTTTCTCGTCGCCGCCCGCCTCTTCCAGTGCTGCCTCAAAGTAACGTACGGATGCGTCAAACTGCAGCAGCTGTTTTGTTATTCCACCCCTGGTTAGAGATGACATGTCAAAGATGGCTGATGATGGGAATATCTTTGTGGTTTGATTTTCCATTTGAACTGTATAGATAATACATCTTTTTAATGGAATGGCAGTGTAGTAGTACCTGAACAACATTTTAGAGTCCGGTATGTGGAAAACTGACTCAACGATGGTGTCATCTACGTCTTGTTTGTCCAGTCGGGTTTTCATTTCCATGAGAGGAGACAGTCTGTCCTTCTGTCCTCCGTTGGCAATGTACGTTCTTAACCGTAGCTCCGCTGAGATGCTGATCAATACAGTCAAGTGGTGGGCATCTTCGTCACTGATCCGCTGTGTCTTGTGTAACTCTTCTATCATTCCCCACACACTGGGGATCGTGATACCACAGCAAGTACTCAACACATCAACGGCCACGCTGGGAAAACGGTAGATTTCTTTCTTCACATCCAGAAGTTGGTCCGTTGCTTCAACGTTTTCTATTTGTCCAATATCATCCTTTAGTATTAGCATTGCTGACAACCGTGACAAAACAGGAGAACGGTCTACGCTTTCGTTGACAATGCTTGTATACTCGTCTACCAAAGACTCGTCTCCTGTTAAGTAGGTCACCCGTCTGAGGATGTCTGACAGGTGATAGCCTTCCGCCAGGGCAATTCTGATATTCTGATACTTGGCCAACTCGTCAGGAGTCTGGATGAGACTAACGGGATCTTTCGCTTTGGTTCTGTCTCTTCCAAGCGGAGTCTTAGAAGCCCATGGCATGAAGCCGTCGAAGGCGAAGCCGCGAGGTGTGACGGAGTCATAGAACCAGTCTTTCTCTGGGTCTTCTGAGAGAAAGTCGTTGAGTGACGGGATGGCCATGGCTGGGAGAATGGTTTCTCCAAGGTTGATGACTTTTAGATGTAAGTAGTGTGTGAGATTTAGGAAGTACGTCTGTGTATCATCATCACCCTTCCCCTCCTCAATCAGAATGGCGAACTCCAGGTCGGAGTACGGCGTCACCAGTTCTGTGGCTTGTGACCCCATCCCGATGTAAGCGTACTTACAGGGAGGAGGTCCGAGTTTGGCGATGCATTCATCTGTCAGTACTTGGATAAACTCTCGTCTTCCAGCTGTGATGCTCTTGAACAAATTCTTGATTGCTTCAGCTCGTTTGATCTCTACCTCTCTCACGACGGGGTCGTCTTCATCATACTGATAAGGGTTGTGTTCCTGATGAACTGTTTTGAGCTGAGATTTTGCACGGGCGCGCGAGTTGTCGAGTTCCTTCATGTGATCTAACGCGCTGCTATACGTACACGGTTCACAGTCTAGGTTACATGTGTTTCTAAGAAACCGCCTTTCTGTTTCTTGCAGTTTTCTTATCATGTTTTGTTTGTCTCCATCTGACCGAGCCATGGAGGCGTTATACAGAGCTGCCGCCTGTGTGAATGCCCTACCCTTTCCTGTCCGCATACCTCGCTCAACGTAGACGTCACCCAACCTGCACAGACAGTCGGCTTCTTTAGCCTTGTTGGGTTTACTGCGATCTGTAGGTATAGAGTTGGAAAAAAGTAGAATTTACCAGACGTGAACAGTTATATTTTGGCCGGTTGATTGGTGTTACTTAAGGATGATGCTTATGTTCAAAGTGGGTAAGGTATACGTACTAAATGTTCTATTATTATATATTCAAGCATTAACTACAAACAATATACTGTATCACAGACCGTGAACCAACTTCAGGGCGGCTGCTAGGTTCTGCTCTGCTGCGTCCAGGTCTCCATTGTCCAAGTCACGGTCTGCCGTCTGGATGTACCTGCGGTAGGAGCTGAATAACAAAGCAAACGTTGTTGTGAAACAATAGTGCTTCACAAAGGCGACAACTGTACTCCAAAGTGCTGTACAAAATCAGTAGTATATCAATCATTCTATCAGTACACCTTATACTTCTGTTACACACAGTAAGATTTAATGACACGTGGAATACATTTCAGGACATATTTCCTCACGTTGGCTGATTGATCGTTAGCGTTCTTTTTCCAAAACTTGATTTTAACATGTTTAATATTATGCCCTATCATATAGAAAATAGTCAATGGTCCTTAAATATTTCTATTTATTTAAGAGTTACTTTGACTGGAAATAGCACTGGTTACATCAGACAAAGAAACACAGAAACACCAACATGTCGTCGTCAACTTGACTGGTGGTTCCGTCGCTAGAGGGCGCAGCTGAGAAGGGAGAGAAGTGGTCCTTCCGTCCTCTCACGTCTTGTTGTTTTTGCGTACGTGTTGCAATCTGAGTGAGAAAAGATAGGAAGTAACGTTCTGTATGATTAACAGGTGGTCGAATAAACTTCAGATAGCTTTAACCAAAGGTCAAAGTTAACTGACCTTACATGACCCGTGGAAGGCCACACAAACTGAGACCGTATTCATCATATGCTTCCGGGTCGGAGTTTAAATCTGACCAGAGTCTAAGTACTAAGTAAGTGCGCAGTAAATCGTCGGAAAAGTGGCTTTGTTTCGTATTTTTGGCCGCGATATCCCCGATCTGTGTGCCTATCTTTGTATTTTATGAAAATTCTGTTAATTCTAGCCTTTTAGGTGGCGTAATGTTGGGAGTCCAGCAAAGACTTCCTGGTATTAGTCCGCGCGGATGGTTATGTGGCCTTTTCGACTGATCCCCGGGATGGTGCGTTCTACATGCGTTGTGGGTGTGTTCGGGCCATCGAAGATAGCGGTAAACGTATCGCATCGATTTTAATTAAATTAAAATTCGGAAACATTAGGTACCGAGCTTCTTCGAGTACTAAGCCGTTACCCTTTTTCCATGTAGCCATGGTTAAAAATGACGAAAAAATGACCCTTACTTAAAAATGTACCTTTCTAGGCCTTATTCAACCCTAATAAATTGGGTGCACAAAATATCAATCAAGTGTATTGATAAGCGGCACGGCACCCCTTCTAACCAGAAGTGTGGAAAATTCATATGACATAAATGACAGCCCGTCAGGCTGAGGGTGTCAAATTGCTACGAATACGGAAAGAAACTCCGGTCCGAGACCATATAGCCCATTGTACACATACCATGTACCAACCCATGGACTAAAATACATGTACATCTTCACAGCGTCTTTCATTGCTTTATTCTGTCACCAAATATCTAGTACTAAGTCTGCTCATTGTTATAATGTTTCTCTGTGCCTAATATATGTTGTATATGTTTAAGGCAGGCAATTCGTTTTTTTTGTACATGTTTTGTTCTGTACATGTACATTTATATATATTTGTTATTGTAATATGTAAAAAAGCAAAAAAAAATCCCGCCCATACGTTTGTCAGTAGAATTAAGCAATAGAGTTAATAAATCAATTTAAGAAGTTGGTATCATTCTAGCGGAAAATGCCCATGACTTTAAGCGACACAAGAAGCCTTTACGCCATCAGCGGCACGAAATGTATGATGGGAATCTTAGATAAACAAACTAGAATCGAAACCCGGAAGTATATGTACAGTCGCGAGTGCGGACTTAGTAAAATAGTTCGCTCACCTTGTTTCTTGTTGTAGTGATGTCATGCCTGATTTTTGCGGTGTGCAGTAAGCGGTGAACAATGACAACTGTTCCATGAACGTTGTGACACCGTGCCAGTGCCCTGTTGTACAGAGCAGTAGCTCCGGTCAAGTTTTTAGTGTCCCCAGTTTCTGTTCCTCTTTTCAGGTACACGTCACCCAGACTCTTGATCGCTTCTGTTTCTAACATGCTGTTGTCTTTTACTATCGCCTCTACCATCACCTGTGCGTATCCAACCAGCAAAGAGTCTGTATTACCACCGGTTGCCCGTCTCTTGTCCAGATCTCGGAACTTTTCCGCTACCTTTGAAGGTGTAGTCGTCTCCTTGTCTTCTGTTGGCTGTTCCTTATCCTGTGACGACACCCCTTGTAAAAGCCTCTCCGTGTAGTGGTAGCGGTGTTCTATACCATCTGCCTGTTCTTCATGGTAACACCGCACCATAGAAGCCAGATAAAGCGCCAAGGCCGTGTTGAACTTCCCCACGTCCTTCCCGAGTCTTCCCTTCTCCACGTTCACGTCGCCCAGAGTTTTGAGCAGCTCCACTTCCGCCAGCCTGTCCGTGTCGGCCATGGCGTCCACCAAGGCACGGAGGTAGTCTGTCTCCGCACGGGCTAGTCCGTACCTCCTGCCCTTCTCGTCCGCCTCACGGAGCTTCTCACACACCAGCAACATGTTCAACTTCTGCTATTAAACAGATTGTCTGTGAAACTCCCACTACCTTCACCGCTCTCTGCTTTAGCTTTACAAACACGGCTAGGCAGGGTTGCTTCGCTTCCGGTATTTGTCGTCACTTCCGGCTTTGGCTCGAAACGGCGGCTACAAACAAAAGTGAGCCGGAAAATAATCCGTAGTGAGCTAAGGACGATGGGGGATGTTTATAACAGTTGTTACGGGGATGTTGTGTGTAATTTATTACCATGGTTTCACCGCATGCTATGGAAGAGTTCCACGACTTCATACCTTCGCCAAATGAGGTTAACCGTTAGTTTATAGCATATGATAACGATATCTAAAAAAATGATGCAAATAAGGTCCTCGTTTGCATATTTTTTTTTCAGTTCATGATCTTCTTCACCCAAATAGAATTTCCTCATTAATCATGTCAATCAGTTGCTTTGATGTACGATGCAGGGGTTTATACAGGAGAGATTATTTACACAATTTTCTCATTTCTATAATTTTGAGTGGGATTACACGGCGGTCGGTTGCTAGGCTAAAGTCGCATTACTAGGGAGGTATCGGGTTACAGAACGTGTTCGAACGTGGCCGCGCGGGAGTCCCAGGCCGGCCCGGGGGCAACGGGTAAAATTTGAAAATAAACAAAAGTAATTGGAGAGTAAATACTCGTCAAAATAAAATGTAATAAGTGATTTTGTTTACCTCAAATGTCATTCTTGCACTGCCTTTGCTCCACTTTGTGTACATTTCTTCCAAATGAGATCAATTTCGGATTTCAAAAAGGGTTCACGTGAACCAAACAACTGATTTTAAGAGGCCCCGAAAATTAAAGATAAGGTTAGATTTTTGGATTTTTAGAAATATTACAGTAAATTTAAACTTTCTGTCTTAGGATCTTTTTATTTTTTAACTAAAACTCGACTTACAGTCAAAAGAAGAGCTAAAAACGCAGTGTTTTAACTTTAAATGCCGATAATTCATAATCGCGGCCACATTTAAAAAATCCCTAAGACAGAAATCTGCGGAAATCGTTGCTCTTCCAAACAAGCCCTCAATGAGGTAATTTGAACGATTTTTGGGAGTGTTTAAAATACCATGTTTGCACGCATGCTGTGCCACTTGGATATGGGGACCTGGATTTTATAACAGCGCCAACAAGAATTCTGACCTTCAAGGTCACCCACGACGACGGCAGTAGCTTCGTTACATGTTACATATTCACAATAAAATCACGGCATAGATGTAATGTTTTGAAAACGGTTCATATTTGTGGAAAGGTGGATTTTTCCTGTTCCGTGGTTCCCAAGTAAAAAAGGGCTTGAAGTAGCCGGTTGTAGCGGCTTTACTGTAAATGACCGCGGGTAACCCCAGATCGAACGCCCGCTCTATTCGAATGACGTCATATCGAACAAGATTCGCGGGTTCGGGGGATTCGATCTCCATAGTAGCGGATTGGGACTTTTGGGCCCAAATCTGACCATCGTGTTATTATTTGGGGGGTTCCTTTTTATTTGTAGATAAGGTATATTTGTGGAGAGATTGAAGGGATTGCTGTTTTATTCGGGTGTGATTTAGACGTTTTCTCGGAGGGGGGGGGGGGGTATTCAGTGTGTACTGGAAGAATGGACCCCTCACCAGGTTAGTAACCTCTGTGCTTTACCTTTGCAGACTTGTGCCCAGTAGTTTAAAAGAAAGTTATGTTGCAAAGCTTAACTCTTGTCTTGCGGAGCACAGCAATTGTTGTTCTGTACATACAGAACCATCTACATAGCACCCTGTATAGGTATGATTTAGGAGTATTTCTCGTGCAACGCATCACACCGTACCGCAGCAAAATAAAACAAATGCGGAAGTAACTATGCCACTGCAGAGCTCAAAAACAATTCAGGGTCTATAATCTAAATAAGACATGAAATTATTGAAAAATGTTGTGCCGGGAATGTCAGCAGGACAAGGGTTTTAAGAAACGTGTTCACTCAGGGTGAAGATACTCCGGAAACACAAGGCCATGTCACAGGAAACAGTGTTATTATACGATCCATCCATAAAAATAATCCTTATCTGGAAACCGTATTTTTCAGCTATTTCAATTTCCAGCATTTGGTGGGAGGAACATGCACCTTTGCAAAATGGCCACATTTTGTGTACTTGCCTTCCTAAAGTTAGGGTAAATGTTGTCGACAAACCACCCACCACCCCACAAACATGCAGACCATATATACGTTTAACTTAGAGCAGTTCATTTACTACAATCGCTCTAACGATAATTCACATCTTTCGACATCTACAACTCCTATTCAGAGAACTGATCACCGAGTTAACTGCCATCACTCACTCACTCACTCACTCACTCACTCACTCAATCACTCACTCACTCACTCAATCACTCACTCACTCACTCACTCACTCACTCAATCACTTTCATCTCTTTTCATTCACTCACTCACTCACTGCGTTCAGTTCACTCGGAAGCCAGATATGATTAACTGTTTCCTTTATTCATTGTAACAGCATAGATATGTGGCAATTCGTTATTTTAGATATAGGAGATAACAAAATTGACGAATTGACTGCAAACTTACAATGAATGCAAAAAAATTCCACAAATGACAACACACACACACACACACACACACACACACACACACACATATATATATATATATATATATATATAAAGTCTCCCTACGCAATACATAGTCTTGCAAAGTACATTAATTCCCCTTATTATGTAATAGAAGCTGCCATACAAGCAACTTGTGACCAAGATAGCTATGTAATGACATGATATGGCAGATAGATTGGAGATGAGCAGTAGTGTCTCCATAGTTAGCTATAGTCATGAGAGACGATTGTCGATATCTAATAACGACTTACCCTACTCGCAGATGGCACTTTTACATGATCTAATGTTGTTCATTACTTTTGCAAAGTTGGGATGTGACGTGCCATAGATAACTATTATCATATTCAAACTCTGTTCGTAATACCGCAGGGCTTTACTGTGATCACCAAGTCTGTGCCAACATAATCCAATGTTATTTAATGATACAGCAATGTCAGGATGTGGCGTTGTTTCGCCATAGATAGCTTTCATCATCTTCAGAGACAGCTCGCAATAACTGATAGCCTTTCTCTGATCACCAAGGCTACTCCAACAGTTCCCAATGTTGTTTAGTGATTTAGCAATGTCAGGATGTGTTGTTGTTTCGCCATAGATATCTTTTCTCATCTTGAGCGACTGTTTGTGATAACTGATAGCTTTCGTCGGGTCACCAAGGTCACGCCAACAGTTCCCAATGTTGTTTAGTGATTCAGCAATGTCGGGATGTGGCGTTGTTTTACCAAAGATAGCTTTCCTAATCTTCAGTGACTGCTCGTGATAACTGATAGCTTTTCTCTTATCACCAAAGACACGCCAACAGGCCCCAATGTTGTTTAGTGATGACGCAATGTCGGGATGTGGCGTTGTTTCGCCATAGATAGCTTTTCTCATCTTCAGTGATTGCTCGTAATAACTGATAGCCTTTCTCTGATCACCAAGGTTACTCCAACAGTTCCCAATGTTGTTTAGTGATGACGCAATGTCAGGATGTGGCGTTGTTTCGCCATAGATTTCTTTCCTCATCTTCAGTGACTGTTCGTGATAACTGATAGCTTTTCTCTGATCACCAAGGGCACGCCAACAGGCCCCAATGTTGTTTAGTGATGATGCAATGTCAGGATGTGGCGTTGTTTCGCCATAGATAGCTTTTATCATCTTCAGTGACTGTTCATGATAAGAGAGAGATTTCCTCTGATCACCAAGGTCACGCCAACAGTTTCCAATGTTGTTTAGTGATGACGCAATGTCAGGATGTGGCGTTGTTTCGCCATAGATTTCTTTCCTCATCTTCAGTGACTGTTCGTGATAACTGATAGCTTTTCTCTTATCACCAAGGTCACCCCAACAGGCCCCAATGTTGTTTAGTGATCTGGCAATGTCGGGATGTGGCGTTGTTTCGCCATAGATAGCTTTTCTCATCTTCAGTGACTGTTCATGATAATAGAGAGATTTCCTCTGATCACCAAGGTCAAGCCAACTGTTTCCAATGTTGTTTAGTGATGACGCAATGTCAGGATGTGGCGTTGTTTCGCCATAAATAGCTTTCATCATCTTCAGTGACTGTTCGTGATAACTAATAGCTTTCCTCTGATTACCAAGGTCACTCCAACATGCCCCAATGTTGTTCAGTGATCCAGCAATGTCGGGATGCGGCGTTGTTTTACCATAGATTTCTTTCCTCATCTTCAGCGACTGTTCGTTATACATGATAGCTTTTCTCTGATCGCCAAGGCCACACCAACAGGCCCCAATGTTGTTGAGCGAGGACGCAATGTCAGGATGTGGCGTTGTTTCGCCATAGATTTCTTTCGTCATCTTCTGAGACTGTAGGTAATAGCCTATAGCTTTCCTCCTATCACCAAGGTCACTCCAACATGCCCCAATGTTGTTTAGTGATCCAGCAATGTCAGGATGTGGCGTTGTTTCACCATGGACAGCTTTCCTCATCTTCAGTGACTGTTCGTAATAACTGATAGCTTTCCTCTGATCGCCAAGGCCACACCAACAGGCCCCAATGTTGTTTAGTGATTTAGCAATGCCAGGATGTGGCGTTGTTTCGCCATAGATAGCTTTCATCATCTTCAGAGATAGCTCGCAATAATTGATAGCCTTTCTGTGTTCGCCAAGGTTACTCCAACAGTTCCCAATGTTGTTTTGTGATTTAGCGATGTCAGGATGTGTTGTTGTTTCGCCATAGATAGCTTTTCTCATCTTGAGCGACTGTTCGTGATAACTGATAGCTTTCCTCTGATCACCAAGGTTACACCAACAGTTTCCAATGTTGTTTAGTGATTGAGCAATGTCGGGATGTGTTGTTGTTTCGCCATAGATAGCTTTCCTCATTCTCAGTGACTGTTTGTGATAATTGGTAGCTTTTATCTTATCGCCAAGGGCACTCCAGCATGACCCGATGTTGTTTAGTAATGAAGCAATGTTAGGATGTGGCGTTGATTCTCCAAAGATAGCTTTCATCATCTTCATGGACTGTTCGAAATAACTGATAGCCTTTCTCTGATTACCACTGTCACTCCAATATATCCCAATGTTTCCAAATAGCGAGGAAAGAACGGGAAGCGTTTTGGTGTCTGCATAAATAGTATTTCCAGTGCTAAGTGCCCGTTTGTAGTAACTGATCGCATCTTTATAGTCACCCCGCATTTGCGAAACATTTCCTAATTCAACAAGTATTTCTAACTTTTTTTTCTCGTCGCCGCCCGCCTCTTCCAGTGCTGCCTCAAAGTAACGTACGGATGCGTCAAACTGCAGCAGCTGTTTTGTTATTCCACCCCTGGTTTGAGATGACATGTCAAAGATGGCTGATGGGAATATCTTTGTGGTTTGATTTTCCTTTTGAACTGTATCGATAATACATATTTTTAATGGAATGGCAGTATAGTAGTACCTGAACAACATTTTAGAGTCCGGTATGTGGAAAACTGACTCAACGATGGTGTCATCTACGTCTTGTTTGTCCAGTTGGGTTTTCATCTCCATGAGAGGAGACAGTCTGTCCTTCTGTCCTCCGTTGGCAATGTACGTTCTTAACCGTAGCTCCGCTGAGATGCTGATCAGTACAGTCAAGTGTTGGGCATCTTCGTCATTTATCCGCTGTGTCTTGTGTAACTCTTCTATCATTCCCCACACACTGGGGATCGTGATACCACAGCAAATACTCAACACATCAACGGCCACGCTGGGAAAACGGTAGATTTCTTTCTTCACATCCAGAAGTTGGTCCGTTGGTTCAACATTCTTTATTTCCCGAATGTTATCCTTCAGTATTAGCATTGCTGACAACCGTGACAGAACAGGGGAATGGTCTACGCTTTTGTTGACAATGCTTGTATACTCGTCTACCAAAGACTCGTCTCCTGTTAAGTAGGTCACCCTTCTGAGGATGTCTGACAGGTGATAGCCTTCCGCCAGGGCTATTCTGATATTCTGATACTTGGCCAAGTCGGCAGGAGTCTGGATGAGACTAACGGGATCTTTCGTTTTGGTTCTGTCTCTTCCAAACGGAGTCTTAGAAGCCCATGGCATGAAGCCGTCAAAGGCGAAGCCACGAGGTGTGACGGAGTCGTAGAACCAGTCTTTCTCTGGGTCTTCTGAGAGAAAGTCGTTGAGTGACGGGATGGCCATGGCTGGGAGGATGGTTTCTCCAAGGTTGATGACTTTTAGATGTAAGTAGCGTGTGAGATTTAGGAAGTACCTCCGTGTATCATCATCACTCTTCCCCTCCTCAGTCAGAATGGCGAACTCCAGGTCGGAGTACGGCGTCACCAGTTCTGTGGCCTGTGACCCCATCCCGATGAAAGCGTACTTACAGGGAGGAGATCCGAGTTTGGCGATGCATTCATCTGTCAGTACTTGGATAAACTCTCGTCTTCCAGCTGTGATGCTCTTGAACAAATTCTTGATTGCTTCAGCCCGTTTGATCTCTACCTCTCTCACGACGGGGTCGTCTTCATCATACTGATAAGGGTTGTGTTCCTGATGAACTGTTTCGAGCTGAGATTTTGCACGGGCGCGCGAGTTGTCGAGTTCCTTTATGTGATCTAACGCACTGTTATACGTACACGGTTCACAGTCTAGGTTACATGTGTTTCTAAGAAACCGCCTTTCTGTCTCTTGCAGTTTTCTTACCATGTTTTGTTTGTCTCCATCTGACCGAGCCATGGAGGCGTTATACAGTGCTGCCGCCTGTGTGAATTTCCTACCTTCTCCTGTCCGCTTACCTCGCTCAACGTAGACGTCACCCAACCTGCACAGACAGTCGGCTTCTTTAGCCTTGTTGGGTTTACTGCGATCTGTGGGTATGAAGTTTGAAAAAGTAGAATTTACCAGACGGGATTTATATTTTTTTCCGTTTGATTGGTGTTACTTAAGGATGATGCTTATGGTCAAAGTGGGCAAGGTATACTTAAATGTTCAAATATTCAAGCATTAACTACAAACAGTATACTGTATCACAGACCGTGAACCAGCTTCAGGGCGGCTGCTAGGTTCTGCTCTGCTGCGCCCAGGTCTCCATTGTCCAGGTCACGGTCTGCCGTCTGGAGGTACCTGCGGTAGGATCTGAACAACGAAACAAACGTTGTTGTGAAACAATAGTGCTTCACAAAGGCGACAAAGTGCTGTACAAAACCAGTAGTGTATCAATCATTCTGAAGTACACCTTATATATGATTTAATGACACGTGGAATACATTTCAGGACATATTTCCTCACGTTGGCTGATTGATCGCTAGCGTTCATTTTCCAAAACTAGATTTTAACATGTTTAATATTATGCCCTATCATATAGAAAATAGTCAATGCTCCTTAAATATTTCTATTTATTTAGGAGTTACTTTGACTGGAAATAGCACTTGTTACATCAGACAATGAAACACAGAAACACCAACATGTCGTCGTCAACTTGACTGGTGGTTCCGTCGCTAGAGGGCGCAGCTGAGAAGGGAGAGAAGTGGTCCTTCCGTCCTCTCACGTCTTGTTGTTTTTGCGTACGTGTTGCAATCTGAGAGAACCGATAGGAAGTATTACCGTTTTTTCTGTATGATTAACAGGTGGTCAACTAAACTGCAGAGAGCTTTAACCAAAGGTCAAAGGTAACTGACCTTACATGACCCGTGGAAGGCCACACAAACTGAGACTATGTAGAAATAGACCGTATTCATCATATGGTTCCGGGTCGGGCTGAGGGTGTCAAATTGCTACGAATACGGAAAGAAACTCCGGTCCGAGACCATATAGCCAATTGTACACATACCGACCCATGGACTAAAATACATGTACATCTTCACAGCGTCTTGCTCTATTCTGTCGTCAAATATCTAGTACAAAGTCTGCCCATTGTTATAATGTTTCTCTGTGGCTAATGTTGTATATGTTTAAAGGGAGGCAATTCGTTTTTTTTTCTGTACCTGTTTTGTTCTGTACTTGTACATTTATATATATTTGTTATTGTAATATTAATATGTAATAAAGCAAAAAATCCCCGCCTATACGTTTATCAGTAGAATTAAGCAATAGAGTTAATAAATCAATTTAAGAGGTTGGTATCATTCTAGCGGGAAAATGCCCATGACTTTAAGCGACACAAGAAGCCTTTACGCCATCAGCGGCACGAAATGTATGACGGGAATCTTAGATAAACAAACTAGAATCGAAACCCGGAAGTATATGTACAGTCGCGAGTGCGGACTTAGTAAAATAGTTCGCTCACCTTGTTTCTTGTTGTAGTGATGTCATGTCTGATTTTTGCGGTGTGCAGTAAGCGGTGAACAATGACAACTGTTCCATGAACGTTGTGACACCGCGACAGTGCCCTGTTGTACAGAGCAGTAGCTCTGGTCAAGTTTCTAGTGTCTCCAGTTTCTGTTCCTCTTTTCAGGTACACGTCACCCAGACTCTTGATCGCTTCTGTTTCTAACATGTCGTTGTCTTTTACTATCGCCTCTACCATCACCTGTGCGTATCCAACCAGCAAAGAGTCTGTATTACCACCGGTAGCCCGTCTCTTGTCCAGATCTCGGAACTTTTCCGCTACCTTTGAAGGTGTAGTCGTCTCCTTGTCTTCTGTTGGCTGTTCCTTACCCTGTGACGACAGCCCTTGTAAAAGCATCTCCGTGTAGTGGTAGCGGTGTTCTATACCATCTGCCTGTTCTTCATGGTAACACCGCACAATAGCAGCAATGTAAAGCGCCAAGGCTGTGTTGAACTTCCCCACGTCCTTCCAGAGTCTTCCCCTCTCCACGTTCACGTCGCCCAGAGTTTTGAGCAGCTCCACTTCTGCCAGCCTGTCCGTGTCGGCCATGGCGTCCACCAGGGCACGGAGGTAGTCTGTCTCCGCACGGGCTAGTCCGTACCTCCTGCCCTTCTCGTCCGCCTCACGGAGCTTCTTACACACCCGCAGCATGGCCAGCTTCTGCTACTAAAGAGATTGTCTGTGAACTCCCTCTACCTTCACCGCTCTCTGCTTTAGCTTTACAAACAGGTCTGGGCAAGGTTGTTTGGCTTCCGGTATTTGTCGTCACTTCCGGCTTTGGCTCGAAACGGCGGCTACAAACAAAAATGAGCCGGGAAATGATCCGTAGCGAACTAAGGACGATAGGGGATGTTTATAGCAGTTGTTACGGGAAGTTGTGTGTAATTTATTACCATGGTTTCACCGCATGCTATGGAAGAGTTCCACGACTTCATACCTTCGCCAAATGATGTTAACCGTTAGTTTATAGCATATGATAACGATATCTAAAAAAATGATTCAAATAAGGTCCTCGTTTGTATATTTTTACAGGTTTGCAGTATGCAAAACCTGTTCTATTTTAGGTGGATTTTGTGGGCGCCGCCATTTTGTTTCCCGTCATGCAATGGGGCAGGTCAAAGTTTGCGAGTAAGGTGCATTGTGGGATCTGTCACCGGGTCACAGTGTAAAGACGACACCTAGCGGTATGTTTGGAAAGAGCAGTAACTGAAAGCCTACCTGGTTGTGTGTTCATTTTGGCAGGAGTGTATAGAGGCGTTGGCTTTGACGTAATATAAGTGAGTCTGATTATGTATTGCACTTGACGTAATTTTCTTAGCATGGCGGGAAGGAAACATGGCGGACCTATTGAGGCGGAACTTTTAAGTTTTTTAGTGGATGATGAGGCTTTGGTATTAGTTGGGTGGTCTTGTGGATCTTGTCGAGGCCGAGCCTAGGGACGACAGATTGTCCTCAAGTACAGGGTTAGTAGGTGGGATAATGGCATGACGTTTTGGTATTACATGTAGTAGGGTGGTCTTGTGGATCTTGTCGAGGCCGAGCCGAGGCCGAGCCTTAGGGACGACAGATTGTCCAACAAG